GAGATATCAATTTGATCATCTCATTTAGACTGCTTTGAGATATATTGAACTGATTCGTTGGAAATTATTAGTACTCAATTAGGCTAAATAAGACACATTTTGGAACACCTTAATATTTAATTCTGTTGAAAACATGTTCGTGTCCGACTTCCTTACATCAAGCAAACTTAAAGCAAAGGGCAAGGTTTGAGGATTGGTGAGCAATTTTTTTAGTATTATGATGTAGGCAGAGCAACTTTGGACATATAGTACAGTCAACTCACCTAATCGCCTTTATCGTCTTAAGTTATGCAAATTCACCCCTTACAAACTTTATGCACATTTAAAATGGATGTGTCTCATCAATTAAACAGAAAAGCTATTTCACCGTTGCCATGTCAAGATGGACACGTCCAAGTTCGAAAGTTCGTTGTACACGTTTTCCGTCTTTCGAAACCAAGCAGTTATTAATAATAAAAACATCTACATCCATGGAAGCGCTATAAACTGTTTTCTTTCAGTAAATTCTTTGTACATGACGTTGAGTGCTTTTTATGATTTAAGACGTACTTTTATTTGTCACTCCTTCATGAATGGCGTTAGTCCGAACTCGAAAAACTTACCTACTTAACGGACATGCTTATTAAAGTATTGATTGTTTGCGTTGTTCTACACTTCGCATCGCGTCTGCTTAAAGTAATTCAATATGCATTAATCAGCAATTTATCCAAGTACCTGCATTTATTAAATGAATTGCGAATTAAAACGAAAAAACGCCGAAATTGAAAGGTTTATAAGTAAATAGCTTGATGTTAGCTAAAGTGGCAATTCCCAAAAGAAGCTATTCGCGTTTACAATAATTGCACTGGGGGAATGCAGATATAGTGCTATTTATTAAGAAATAGATATAAAGGGGGTCAGTCTTATTCTATGTGTTAGTTCTATAAAAAATGCTTGAATTTGTGCACTACAAAAATCGATGAATATAATAGCACTGTGTAGGATAATGGCTTGAGCAACATACTATAGAGATTTCAATCTGCAAAATTTGTGATATGCAATTATTTGTTCCTAAAATTAATTTAGATCAAAAACGTATTCAGCTTTCTTTTGTAGAACAGCCTCCCTACGTCGATCCACGGTATTAGCTTGCAACTTTCTTCATTATAAACCCGGAAAATAATTAATAAAAGTTAGATCAAGTATTTAGAACCGCCTTTGAAAAACTTTACTTTCAGTTATCAGAGTTTGGAATGCCAGCGTAAGTAAGTTACTACGTGATGTAAATGTGTGTTGTTCAAAAAAATAGTACACCTGAATGTTAAATCTTCTAATTAGAGGGCGGAACAAGGAGAGCGAGAATTGTGCATCGTGGGATCGAGTTGTTTTTTAAATTTAACGAAAGATGTTACTTATCAAAGTGAATATGAATCCACCTTGTTACTTATATGGTTCTGCCTACGCCACTTATAACAAGTAAGTCCGCTTAGATGTCGCTGCTGTCTAAACTATAAATATGAATAATTATAGCTCCACCCATTTGTCCCACTCTCAAAGGCAGATATTTTACTGCACAGATAGTTCAACGTTATCAATTCTCAGCTAAACTTATCTTCTCGTATTCTATTCGAAATAAAGAATATTTCTTTAGTTACTTTTTAGCAAAAAGTCATTTATTAAGTATTCTTTGCTTTTAGCTTGGCCACACGTATATTTTATATACAGTAAATTTTTACTGACCGAAATTACCTAACTATTGGATGTGTATTGCGTAACGCAGAAATATTAAAGAAACGAAGAAAGCTTGTGTATTTAGTGAAATTGCCATAAATTAAGGCAAAATTTGCTATTAATCCGAAAATAAACCAACTTTTGCTATAAATGATATCTTCCCAATTACGGCAATTTTATATGTGTGTTTTCCGTCATCGTTTTAGATTAAATATCCTCGCTGATCGTTTATAATTTATAATTTTATATTGCTGCCTGTCTGTTCGTCTGTCCGTGTGCACGATAACTTAGTTCAGAAACGTCCGACCGCTTTGAAAATTGTTGATGTTTCTAAGCATAAAAGAAAGATCGTTTTTCAGGCACGTAGGAGACCACATCCTATGGCAAATGGCACATTATTTGAAAACCAATTTAATCGTGATTACTAATCTGCTTTGCTTTTTAAATTCTATTGATTCGTTTCGAAGATAATTCGCATTTGAAATGTTTTTTTCTAAAAAAACCAAAACAAATGCGATCTGTCACCTTGTATTAAAATTTTATTTTGACGCTTCAATTTGTTTGTTAAACTTAAGTGAACCTGTCAGTTCTCCGAAACGAATCAATAGAATTTAAAAAGCAAAGCAGATTAGTAATCACGATTAAATTGGCTTTCAAATAATGTGCCATTTGCCATAGGATTCCATTGACGTGTTCGAGGATTTTTCGAAATTTCTAAATTTAATACCCTAAAAGCCCTCTGTATACTTCTCGTTGGGCCACTCTGTATATAATCACCGCACGCAGCACATTTTGGATCATCTACGATATTGACCCTGAACAATGAGGCAGCGAGATTGTAGTGATCCGCTCTGCATCTAATTATTGATACTGTAATATTACGATTTACTCTAGATTTGTGGAACCAAGTTTTAGGCGAGTCATTGTAAAAAAGTTTAAAATATTTGGAAGCTTTATAGATGGATTGTTCTAAGCAGTAATCATTAGTATTAATATATGAAGTTTCTTTAATTTTCTGCGAAAAATCAGTGAAAGGAATTATAAAGTTAGGGGTAGAAGTTTTACTTGTGTAGGATTTTGCTAATTCATCAACAGCCTCATTTCCCAATATGCCAATATGAGATAGACACCATACGAAGACTATATTCTTGCTTGGATCTTTTGCCATAATTTTGTTATATTCGTATTTTATTTTGAGAATATAAAAATTTAAATTTATATTAACTTTGGCTGATCCTAGACATTGGAGCGCACTTAACGAGTCAGATACTATCGCGAAATTGGCAACTTGATTATTTCCAATTGATTCTAAAGCTTTTTCAATGACAAAACATTCTGCAGTAAAAAATTGACGTGTCTTTCGGTAGGGCTTGACCAGATTTCTAATTTGTATTGACATAAAAGCATGCAGAACCTACATGACTGCTTTGGTCATTTGTTTTACTGCCATCTGTGAATACTACGTGAGAGTCGTTTTCCGTGAGAAACGCATTTAAGATTGTATTTGGATCTGTAGCTATTTTCATGTGTTTGCCTAGGTCGTAATTAACATTTAGGCTTGTTTTAAGGACATTGTAATCAAAACAATAAATGTTATAGTTCTTGTGCGCTTTTATAAGATCAGTAACATCCAGTATGCACTGTTTTAAGAGGTTAGGTTTCTCATTTGATTTAATTGTGTTTCTATTGCCATTTTTATTGTGAATAATGGACTGGATAGTTTCAAAGGAAGATAAGGACAGAATTTTGGTGAAATAGCATTTACCCAACCTTTTTGAGCGTTCTTGAATTGACTGCAGTTTAGATTCCGCAAGTACAACATTATTTGGGGTTGTTCTCCTAAGGCAGTCCTTAGGCAAGCAATTTAGACTTTTTCCAATTTTTCAACATGAATAGTGGCTGTCGGGAAATAAACAAAACTACAGTAGTCAATAATAGAGCGAACAAATAGTACATTATATATCAAGGTAGAGAAGTACAGTATTATTGCCTGAGCACCAAGATTACATCGCGAGGCGCTTGCGCCGAGGGGTGTAAGGTGCGAAGTCTATAATAGACTTCTCTACCGTGGTTATATATACTATTTTTTTCACTACTAGCACTTGAAGTACTTTAAATTAACAGATTATATTGATAAGAAAGTGAACGGTAGGACAGAATTTTTTGTTTATTAATTTAACATGTCAATCAAGTGCGTAGAAGTACAAGTCAAACAGGCCGTATTTTGTTCTGTCATTGAGATATTTTCAAAGAGTAATTTCGTTCGAATTTATTCAAAATGTGATAATTTTAGGTAGGTATATAATTTCTCTGAAAATGGCGGATGGTGACAATTATTCATTTTTTTGACTACTAGCGTCTGATGACATGATTATTAACCTTTTTTCCACTTGTAAAGTAGGCTTTCTCGGCATTTGTTCAAAGTGGTTAATAATTTTTTATTATTAACTAGTAGTCAATGATGAGAACTGTCACGCTGTCACTTTTAGAAAACACAACCCGAAATTTCGCTCAATGAACGTTTAGACAAGTTCTCTAAAACGAATAATTGCCACCATTCGCAATTTCCAGAGAAATTACATACCTAAAATTATCACATTTTGAAAAAATTCGAACGAAATTACTCTTTGAAAAATCTCAATGACAGAACAAAATACGGCCTGTTTGACTTGTACTTCCACGTACTTGATTGACATGTTAAATTAAGAAACAAACAATTGTGTCCAACCGTTAACTCTCGTTATCAATATAATATGTTACCACACCGCGTTGTAAACAAAATGGTTATCAGCAGTCTAAGAAAAATAAATAACAGTTACAGCCCATTTGGGTTTTTGGATAGGCATATATTTAATCAAAATCCGCTAAATAAACATATCTTACTACTTATATCTTTAGTTTTGCACGGAATTCTAGAGAATATGTCAAAATATAACCTACGCGGTAACTTACCTAACTTTGTGCGTTCCTTTTTAGAAGATAGGCGATTCACTGTGAAAATCGGAGACACCTATTCACAGGAACACATTTTAGAGAATGGGGTGCCGCAAGGGTCAACTTTAAGCTGTTCTCTCTTTGCAATTGCAATAAACGAAATAGCTTCAGGAGTTGCGGAGACAGTTGACAGATGTCTGTATGTCGACGACCTCATGATTTGCCTCGCCGGAAAAACTGTAGGTAGTGTAGTGCGTAGTTTGCAAGGTTCCATCAACCAAATTGCTACAAATGCAAATTCAGTAGGGTATGTGCTTTCTGAGGAAAAAACCAAAGCAATGCATTTTTGTAGGGTTCGTAGACCTCATTATGATCCTGTTATGTTCTTAAATGATCAAGTAATAAGTGTACCGAACGAAATTAAATTTTTAGGACTCACATTTGATAGGGAATTAAGATGGACCAAACATTTGGAGAACCTACTAACTTCAAGTAGGAAATCGTTAAATGTGTTAAGAGTACTGTCACACCTGAAATGGGGGGCTCATCCTAAATCCCTTCTTGATGTTTATAAGGCGTTGATTCTGTCACGTATTGACTATGGGTGCTATAGTTATTCCTCGTGTAATTCCACGTTGCTAAGTAAGCTGGACAAAATTCAAAATTTAGCAATTAGATATTCCCTTGGGGCATTTCCAACGAGTCCCGTCTGTGCTCTCAACGTGGAAGCGAATATTCTCCCGCTTGCTCTTCGCCGAAAGCAGTTAATAGTTAACTATTACCTGAAAGTACATCAAAATGATAAACACCCAAACTATAGATTACTTACCGATGCAACTAGACCTACACGGTTATATAAATCGCAAGGTGAAAGAGCAAGACAATTCATGGAGGAGCTACAGTTACAAGAGGATAACATTGTAGATTTCACAAAGGTGGCTGTCAAGCACTGTGTAAATGAGCGCTGGCAGGAGCAATGGGCGCGGGCCGATACATCTTTGAGAAGAATTAAACCAAACCTAGGACCACTTTTTTTACTTGACGTGGAACGTCTGCACTCGACAAAGCTGTATCGGCTCCGTTTGGGACACACTGCTCTCACGCATAGTTATTTGCTGAAGGGTGAGACACCATCTTTGTGTAATAGATGTGGTATCAATTTAACACCAGAGCACATACTTTGTGTTTGTGTAAGATACCAAAATGAGCGTGACCTATTCAAAATTAGTGTGATATGGGAAACAAATTTTGCTAGTCAGGATCGCTGTAGAGGTGTGTTGGGATTCATGCGAAGCATTGGAATTTTAAATGATCTGTGATAATCTGTGATATTATGCGAGGCATTGGAATTTTGAATGAAATGTGATATTCTGTGATATTAGTATGTATGTATGTTGCTTAGTTCTTGTTCGTTGTACTTGTCTATATCTGTGTAAAAAGTAATAAAAATGGGCGATAGGCAAATGGCCTCAGCAGCCGAAGCCTTAGGTGGGGTTTTAGTGGGTATTCGCAATGGGAGAGCCCCACACTACTCTGGAACTTCCTTCTAGAGTGTGCATAAGGAGCATTTCCCCACCTATACAAAAAAAAAGAGCATATTTTCCCATACGTGTTCATCACCAAAATACACATATAAATCAAATTAGGACTAGAGTAAGGCAGTTATATACCAATTTAGTTCAAATAAAATACCAATAAATTCGATTAAAACAGTTAACAGCTATATGTTATCTTTTTTTGCTACTAAAATTTATAATAAACATGGCTGCAGAACGTACGTCTGCCCCGCGATGAACAGTTGGTTGCCTATCCTATCTTGACAACAGGCATTTATAGTAAAATCTACGTTACGCGCGGTCTAGTTATAACAAGTCTCTGTGTTGAATAGATTTCATTGAAAATATCTCGGAAAATATCAAGGAGCAGCTGCTTGTATTTGATTGTGAGTTTTTTTATTGTTTCATAATCAATGCCATCAACTCCCGCTGCTGAATTTTTTTTTTTTAAATCTAAAACTGTATTGAGCTCAGCAAAATCAAAAGATTGATAAAAAACAGATTATTGATGTCTGAACAAATGGGGAGATAATCAGGTTCCTATTCCTATTAATAGTATTTTCTATTTGGGTTTGATTTTGACGATTACTATTGACGTTGGTAGGTTGAACTTTAGTCCATTTGTCTTTAAAAATTTTACTTTTGTTATAGACATACTTAGAGCTAGTGTTGAAATTTATAGTTCTCGCAAACTTTGTGAAACACTCTTTTTTCTTTGTTCTGAAGCTCTTTATCTAACCTTTTTACGTTTAAATTTCTCATCAAAACCGATTTATTGAAATGCACACTTACGACTTTTTACCATTTTTTACACACCACCAAAATTAAAAGACAACTAAGTACACAAGAATTAACCGATTGCCGCCTTCCGAAAGTGGCGCCCTGGGTCCAATTTATAATCCGGGGTCTAGTATTCACAGTTCAGAATGTCAGAAAGAAAAAGTCGCCTACAAGTATGAAAATTAGATCTAAGCGTGAGCAATCCAATTTTTGGTAAGTTGGTACCTTCGTTTTCCATCTATAACTATAAGAAGGACCTTTTTTAAATTTTGGAAAATATTGGCCACAAATAAGATAGCAATAAATATCATTATATCATTTTTCTTTAAAAAAAAACTAATAAAAACTGTCCACTTTAGAAAACTGTTGCAAGTACATCTTTGTCCGTTTTTTATACTCTTTCTATTGATGCATAGTAAAGATATGGTTTCCATTTGAAAATTTCAAGTTTTTGACCAGAAACCGATTGTCAACTTTGAACGATTATTCGTATTATTTTCGAATCACATTTGAAAATCAGACCAATAACATTTAATAGCGCGAATTTTTAGCTGTCCATTCGTGAAAAAATCCTTTTTGCTAAGTTGTCAGACAAAAGTGATGACTGATTTACTGAACCTCTGAAACTGTGAAAAAATGTCAAAAATGTCAAATAACTTCGAAACCATGTCAGTTAGCTGTAGCATCATATTGACAAAATCAACTGATTTTTTAGGTGGAATTCAAAATTGGAATCAGAAAAGATAGTTCCATTTGAAATAAGAAAGTTCCGGTATCATTCGGATACAAACGGAAAAGCGGCCATCTTAAAAATATGTTTAAATGATTTCTTTTGATCAATTATTCAAAAAATGTAATGGGCCCCGAATTAAAATTCCAAACCGTTCCTGAAATACTTCTAATGGTATATTTAAAAACACCACCCTGTATGTAATTTTAATAAAAAAATATAAATAATGGTGTTACACGAAAGTTTGCAAAGCAATTTTTAGAAAAGCAGGTAGCTTATAGATAAACTTTCGTCAATGAACAGATACTAGTTGTAGCGGGTCCATCGGCTAAAGCAATAGAGAGTGCATGGCAGGGAGTGTGGTCTAGATGTCTGGATTAGGCAGCTAAACATAAGGCCGAGTATAAGTTTGCAAAATCTGAAATCACTACCTACCAGATTGAAGTTGAACTGGCTAACTTATGTGGAAAAAGGGATGTCTATCTCATACATAGACACTATAATATATCCAGACTGTGCCACCAGCCATTCTGTATTCAGCTGAGTGGGGGCGCAAGGCACACGAATGCATGATATTTATACCAAGCTACAGAATCAATTTAACGCAATGCAAAGACAATTCTTATTGAGGCAAACCAGGATATATAAAACCACACCAACACTATCGCTAGAGGCAATTACAGGCCACTGTATAAAGAGGCAAGCAGAATGCATAACATATTATTCATAAACAGTCAGGAAGTGCCCTCAGTAAATCCAAGTGAGAGACCGCGCCCTGCGAAGAGAGGATCAGTGATTTCTCGTAATTATCCCACTCCATCAGCATGAATGAACTCCGACTTTATGTCGACTCAACTGGTCAGAAACGCTGTCCTCTGCGCGAGGGATGATAGATCGATGTAAAACCGTTGGTCTTAGAAGCAGACAAGAGGGTTCTGGGACTTAGCAGGATAAAGGGACACGGTCTAGACAAGTGCAATATTACTACGCACGACGTACTAAAAAACCCAGACGTGTAGCGCTTACCCGTAGAGGTCGGGATACTCCGCTGTTTCGTCCAAGTAGAGGTGACATCCAAACTTAGAAGTTCTTGGCAAAAAATCGAGAGCAATGCAAATTAAGTACAACAAATCTATGCAGTCCTTATGATAGATACCAGAGAGGTGTTGAATATCTCAAAAAATTTACAAACATTATTAATATATAATATTAATAATAATATAATAATAATTAATAAGTGTAAACAAACAACAAGAAAATATAAACATACATATACAGTTAAAAATTAATAAATACTAAACTACGTAAACTCACTCATTCCTGGAAAACATAAAAAAACCTTTAAAAAATAAAAAACAAAGGAATTAAGTCTCATTCTTAGCGTATTGGCGTATGGCGAAACTTTATAGTGTCTATTGAAAACGATAAGTTAATAATGTAAATAATAATAAGTAATAAATAAAGTACAAACGACAAATAGCTATACCTACGTACACAAAAGGTAGTGCATGGCAACCCCGCTGCTTTTTGGAAGGCGGAATGGCTGGTTTACGGGTTCCCTCGACTGCGGTGGGGTCAAATCTGGCGAACGGGGAGGCCATAAAATATCCTTACCCTCAGTTCCTCATCATGAAGTTGATTCATATCCAGCATTTCAGTAAGATACCTTTCTGCAGTAACAGTATCGTTGAGCCAAATTGGACCTATGATACGTCTTCTGGACATGCCAATCTTAAAAGGATGCAAACTGGTTTCTTCAACGCATGTAAACAGGTACACGATATATATGCTCGTGCTCATGATCGTGCCCGTTGAATGTCGGTTTGAACGGAAGCGTGTAAACGTAGCATTACATGCGTTGACGGGCTTGGTGCGATTTCTATAAATTTTTATCATCCACCACCTTCTCCGAGCTCTTCGTCTCTTTTCAATTCGTTGTTGTTTTTTCCAACAAAAGTACGTATGTCAAACCGAACGGAACAGCTGCAATAACATCTACGTCCGCCATGTTTGGTTGTGAGCTTATTCTGAGTTGTGCTCAGATGCGTGTAAACAGATTGCTTTGTACGCGGTGATTCGCCGAGCAGCTTACCGAGATGCTTGCCAAGCTGCTTGCCGCGCGTGTAAACGTAGCTAAAAGATGCTAGCCGTCGTCGTCATCGTTCGTCAAATCGTAGCGTTGTAGCCCGTGTTCGATTCCAGTGAATGCAGACTTTTTTTTTTAAATTTTACATATTATTTAGCATCTCTATACATTTCGCCACACTAATGCTGAACGTCGACGTAGGATGTTACACAGACCCGTAGAAGCTGGTATTTCTAGTACAGCGATGTTTTACAATAAAAATGTATGCACAATTGCCTGTACATTTACTTGAAGGCATTTTTGAAGTCTATAAATTATTGCGTATTTCCAATTATTTGTCGGAGAATAAACCGTTCAGGGGACCGAATTCTAGAGACCGACCGGCCGTCATCGAAACGGTAGTCTAAAACAACGTTTATCAGGAGATGCCTGTTTAAAAAGGAAATTGTAACTCATACGAAATAACGTTCCCTAATAGGTATCTAATTTCCATAATAATTCATGTTTTATTTCCAACCCTTGGACCAAAAACGTTTTTATTAGGATGTCTGTAATCATTTCTGAATCTTAAAGTAAGCATTTCTGAACATTTCCTTCTTTAATTTGAGTAGGTAGCTACCCATCCTGATATTTTTCTTGAATACTTAAAACCACTCTAGACATTATAGAAGTGCAATCAGAGTACGATCAACGTATAATATACCTAAAGTAATTCCCTTCTGTAGAATTAAGAAATGAAGTAGAACAATTGTATACCGAACCAAGACGAAGAAATGCGCACTTTTCATAAAACACAAACGAAATCCTTTAAATGTTACCTCCCGCAAATCGCAACTTGTACCGCCAGTTCCAAGTTTTCTATGATAAATTTTTAATTTCGCTGAAAGCTATGTTATAAATTTGCGCTAATGATAATACAATTCTTGTTTGTAGAGATACGAGCAAATTTAAAAAGGCT